CAAAATATGTAAAACCAAAAAATAAAAAAGAAAGGGTGAAAAACTCATCCCTTAATTCCCCCTCTTCTTCATTCCCCTAAAATCAAACCAGTTCAAGCATGGTAAAGAGGCGATTAGATATAGTTTCTACAGTAGAAAAAACTTAATTAAACCTCAAATTTAACTCAACGTTAATCCACTCTCATATCTCCAATATTATCAATGTAATAAAATAATATTAACCAATTATTCTTACGCATCACATCAACTTTAATTCACTATTCGTCCCCTCACATAATTTTAACTAACCATCAGTTTCAGTCATTTTTATCCTACTTTACATCAAATCAACTTTAATTATTTTATTTAAATATTATTTTATTATATCAACTAACAACTAACTATACCACATTTTTCCAAAATTAACTATAGTTAAAAAACAATCCAAATAAAAATTAGTTGAACCCATAAACAATCGACCCCTATCGTTTGCAAAAGCTTATATGTGAAGGTGAAAATTCCCTTTGTTGTTGTGTGGATTCCTCTGCCATGGCTCAACTGCTCAATTCTAGGAATCCCTCCCTCCTACTCATGTAGCCACTTTTTATTATGAAAATATCTATGTCTTATTTGGACTATTTTAGTTCTTGTTGTTTCCACGTGGACTTAAGTTTTTATATTTTATTTTTTTTCTTTATTGTTAGCCAAGAAGGCTTTGAAGAAGAGGGAATAAAAGTCACTCACTCTGACTTTCTATTTTTGTAGCCTCTTTTAAGTTATTTTTTCGAGCTGTAATCAGTTGGTTGCTCGTTTATCGTACATTTCAGCCCGAGTTTTTATAAATCGGTTTGTCTGCTGTTTGAAAAAAAAAATAAAAAAATTTAAATATCTATTAAGATAAATTTTAAAAGTTTCAAGGCAAAAAAATAAAATAAAATAAGCATAAAAAAAAAATAAAAAATTAGAAAACCCAGAGACCTGGGTTTTGCAATAGTTTCTTATTAGACTGCACAAATAGGGAAAGGGCATATGTTGATATCCACAACTTCCTTTGGTACCCAACCCCATTGTAGTGTATATATTAACACTCATCGTAACACTCATCGACCCTTCATCTCTCTCTCTCTCTCTCTCTCTCTCTCTCTCTCTCTCTCTCTCTCTGCAACGAAATTATAGTTGGCGACTGTAAATCTGCCAACATTTTGTGGAATTGCTGCTACATTAGGCGATTTATGTTCCTAGGTATTTCCTATTCATCTCATTTTGCAGTTTGAGCTGATTTGTTTTGGGTGCTTATGAAGTCTCTGCCCCTTTTGTCAACTCGTCATAAATTTGTTTCATGGTTTCTTCCTAGGTTTACTCGAAGCAGTTCATCGAACGGTATATTAATTTTCACTTGTATGGCCGTGATTTCTTGGAGCATCTTATGATTCTTGTTTTTTTTTTGCAGCTGCTGTTGTTTTTTAAGGTGTAGTGTAAAAATGCTGAGAATAGATTTCTAGTGGCAGTTAGCAATTGGAGGAATTCACAGAATTAGTTGGGGTTGAGCTTAAAATTCCCTATTTCAATATGCATTTACTTCACTCTGTTGTGATGGGTACCTGTGTGGTGTGTTGCTGATTAATTTAACTTGATTACTATGGAGAATGACGAGGTGTATCGTTAATCCTGGTGCTGAAGAATGTGTAATATGATTGTTGTTTGTTTCAGCCATTTCACTTTCTATACATTTTTGTGTTGTTTTCTGTGATGGAATAAAGGGGCAAATGAATGATACTAGTCATCTTATTGCAGTTCTATCTAAAGGGGTCCCTGTTGATTTTCGGCAAAGTGAAAAAAGAAAAAGACGAGTTAACATTTATAAGAAAATTTGAGATTCTGTCTGTTCAAGATGGGATTAAGGTGACAAAATAAGTCAAGGTCTCCACATCTTGGTCGGGTTCTCATCATAGTGAAATTAAAATGAATGAAGTGTCTGATAGAGGTGAGTAACTTTTTGAATATATCTTTCTCTGGTTGTGCTTTAATATTTACGTACTAGTCCATCCATTTTATATTATCCGATCTACATGCTTTTGTGGTTAAATATGTTGCTCGATTATCCAGGTGTGTGCTTCCCTGTGGATATAAATAAGAAAGGTGATCAAACAAAGGATGGCGATTGTGTTGAAAGTAATGATCCTAGCTCAAGTGAAATAAGCATGCACTCTATGGTTAAATTGTACGTTGCCTCGGTAAAAGAAGGAGCTGAATTACTAAGTTGTGATGTTAATATTAGTCTGATGCAGAAAAAGGACAACATTGGTGGTGCAAGTGACATTAATGAAGAGCCCAAGAGCATAGATGCTAACCGGCAGAAGAAAAGACTGAAAACAACACAGCCATCTGGTATACCGACAAATGATTTAGAGATTACCGATGAGGATACTTGTTTGGACTTGCCTATGGAAATTGAATCGACGAAAGTGGAATCTTTCTGCCATCGAAGTACAAGTGAGAACTTGACGGCTGAAGACAGGATCTCGGTGGAGGATGTTTCTACGACTAAGTTGTTGGAGCAAGATTCAGATTGTGTTTTGGGTTTTCATGATACCTCATCGAATAATGACAACACTGATAAGACGAAGGAAAATGCGGTTGAAATTGTTGATGCTGATAAGCTCGCAATTATGCAGCCTAAGTGTAGTGCTGGATGTGCCATAGTACCTGAGATAACCGAAAATGATAAAATCTCTATGCCAGTTTCTGGTGATGCACATTGTAATACTGTTTCTCCACCTTTGAACGAAATGGAGCCAGGTTTTTCTGAATCTAGTGATACTAAAATAACAAACAAAAATTCATGTGATGCTCATAACTCAAATAACCACCTGGAAGAAGCCCATGATGGGGCCGGGACTGTTCGAAATTTTCAGCTCGGCAAAGCAGTGCTGGAAAAAGAAAATATTAGTAGTTTCCCAAGCATCTCCTCTGGAGAGGCATCAGGTGGGAGTACTTTATTACACCCTGAAGAACAATCTGTGAAATATGATAATGTCTCTTTGAAACAGTTGAATGATTTAGGAGCTATTGGTTCTCTAATTATAAATAAATGCGTAACTGTGGCAGTCGAGAAAGCAGTTTCCAGCTGTACAGAGAAGAAGCTTCTTGTTCTTGATGTGAATGGCTTACTTGTTGATATTTCTCCTTATGTACCTTATGATTACGATCCGGATGATATAATACTGAGGAAAGCAGGTGAACAAAAGACTACAATGTTAAGTTATGCTAATAATTCTTCCCAGCAATTTTCTTGACTTCATTTGTAATTTCTGATCAGTTTTTAAGAGGCCCTACTGTGACGATTTTCTCAAATTCTGCTTTGAGAGGTTTAATGTGGGTGTGTGGACGTCAAGAGCCAGGTACCACTCTTCAACCATTGCCTTGTAACCCCCCATCCTCAAAATTTTCTCATGTATTATATCATATTTACTCCAATAAATTCTCTTGTCCTTGGAAAAACAGTGATTTATTCCCACTGATGAAACTTTTGCAGACGAAATATGGAGCCAATTCTTGATTTTCTTTTAGGGAATGATAAGAGCAGGTTGCTTTTTTTTTGGGTAAGTGATGTATTCTTATGGTACGCAGCATTCTCGTTTTCCCTAACATGTTTAGGCAGCAGTTACTTCATTGTCATATCTTACATTAGGAATCTAGTGCCGTTAATAACTAACTGTTGATACTGTATAATTTTCCCTAGCATCATGCGACTAAATGTTATTTTCCCAACAGACATCTTGTAGGACCCAGATGGATAAGTTTTTGCACTTATGGGTGACATAGATATTTGATCATTCGTCTCATCACTCATATCTATCAATTAAATGTAGGTTGATCTTGTCAGAAAGTATATTACTGTGAATAATATACAGCATTGAATAGTGAATGTTATTCTTCTGTAGTAAACAATACACACTTCACGAAAAGGTGCGTTGTCTGCTTTTCCTTGAGAGAAACTTGCACTTCACGAAAAGGCGTGTTGTTCGTTTTTCCTTGAAAGAACCTTGTCTCTTCTTCTTCTCTTCTCATTTTTTCCCTTCCTTTTCTGTTTCTCTGGAACATTTTGCTGTTTCTTACTGCTTTCTTTTTTCAGGATCAATCACATTGTACTGATACGGGTTTTACCACTGTCGAAAAGAGGAACAGACCTCTTCAGTTGAAGAAACTTAAGAAATTGTGGGATAAGTGTGAGCCTGATCTTCCATGGGAGAGGGGAGTATATAATGAATCAAATACGCTTTTGTTAGATGATACTCCTTCTAAGTCCTTAACCAACCCTGTGAGTTTTCACATTCTTTTGTTGACGCTGGATGTTATTTTGACAATCTTTCATTTGTTTTGACTAGGAAGTTGCATGATCCTACACACGATTTGGATGACATTCCACTTATGAAAACTAAAAGTTTTTTGCATAAATGTTTTCAGCGGTATAATGCAGTCTTTCCCCACACGTACCGGTTCAGAAACGTTCGAGACAATTCCTTAGGTCAGTTATCCTTCTAAATGTCATGAATTGTGACTCTACTAGTGAAACTAAATTCCAGGATTTCATGCTATTTAAAATGAGCTTCTTCAGTCCATTCAACTTATAGTGTCTGTTTATTCTTGAATATGTGACATCCTGCGTGGTGCGTCTGCATCGGTTTCGTTAATTGATTACGCGTTCTGATTGTTTTATTTCTTATGTGAAATGTTTTGAAATAGAAAATAGACACCACATTCAATTAATAATTACAATTTACATAAGATTGTTTAAAATGTTAAATGGGAATATAATCAATGCATTCTTCTTTATGTTGAAATTATGATATGGAGATGGAAGTAGAAATAAAATTGAACCTGGATTGTCTATTTCTAAAACTCATGCATGTCCCTGTATTGTTATGATACTTAAAAAGCCTATTATGTTGAAGAATGAAAGGAATTTCTTTATCCATTTATTTGTGTGTTCCTGTACTAAATCAAGTTCTACCCTTCCATCTGAGTCTTGATATAGTTTATAATTCTGAACCTTTTCTGACATGATATCATGAATTAACGTATTCCAAAAATTCGTAAAACAATAGAACCTTGGGACCTTCCCCTGCGAATGCCTTCACCATTTATTATACCTGGTATCTGATTTTGAGGATCGTTACTCAATTAGTTAGAGGCAATGCGTAACAGAGCATAGTTCAATCTAACTGGGATTTCTTATGAAGAAACATTGATTCTAACTGGGATTTCTTATGAAGAAACATTGAGAAATGAACTAATGTATTCAATATATCTTCAAGAGTACAATATACACAATAACTTATATACAAGTCTTGCCGTTTATTATTCCTGGCATCGGATTTCAAGGCTCGTTACTCAGTTAGTTAGAAAGCAATGTTAGTAACAAAGCATAGTCCAATCCAATCGAGATTTCCTGCGAAGAAACATTGATTCTTAATGTGTTAGTGGTATTGTAGGTGTTAGGGAGAAATGAACTAATGTATTTGATATATCTTCGAAGGTACATTATACAATTACGTGGTATTGTAGGTGTTAGGGAGAAATGAACTAATGTATTCGATATATCTTCGAAGGTACATTATACAATGACTTAAATACAAGTTTAGGAGCAAACTAAAATGGAAAACATATCAACGGGCCTAATCTATGAGATTACAATTATATGACTAACTGATACCCTAATCTATACAATACATATATATATACTATTATTATTATATATATTATTATTATTTTATATATATATAGGGTTGGGTTCCAGTGAGAAAGGTTTTCAATGAAAGAAATGAGAGTAAACCGTAGCCATTTGATCAAATGATCCAATGGGAAAAAAAAATCAGCACTTATTTATTCATTAAGGGTATTTTAGATATTTTAGCATCTTATAATTAATTTATGTCAAATAACAAATCACCTCCACCAATTAGTTTGTGCCACGTGTCAAAAACACCTCACATATCTTACCCTCTCTCTCTCACACTGACACACACATTAATATTGGTCAACACACACATTACACACAACAAACACACACAAAATACCCACACACAGCTGAAGAAACCACCACAATCGCCCGATTTTCCGGCGACGTCGAGCTTGATCGACGGCTTAAGTGTCACAGCACCTCCGCCAGGCCGCCGCACCTCCGTAAGCGAAGGAGGTCCGATCCGCTGCCGCATTCAATCTCAGCCGCGTATCTCGGACTTTCGGCATCGGTCGTCGGGATACCTAGCTTCAACCGTCGCGGAGCTTACAGTCACACGCACACTTCGCCGCCGTTGGTCCATCGTCCGGAGCTCCACTGCCGTCATTCTCCATTCATATCGACCGGCGGCCGATTTCACCCACCCCCGCTGGAATGTGGCGCCGAAGATCAGATCTAGGCGGGAGAAGCTTAGGAACGACGGAAGCCAATAAACACATCGAGGTCGGATATGTCGGTCGGAGTTGGCTAAACGGAGCGGGTGGGTTGCTGGGGAAGATGACCCATTTTGGGAAGCGGCTGTGAACGGTGAACCTTAATTGGTTTTTAAGGGTTGATTGCAATTAGGGAAATTTGGTTATATTTAAAATTGGTACATATCCTAGATGTGTAATTTATACAAAATTTAATAAATATATGATAATGATGAATAAATTTGAAATGTATTGTGTATATATTCATGTTAAATATATATGCAATTTGTTTTTTAATTTTTTGTTATACACAAATAGTAAATACTATATAAATTATTAAATAAAAATAATAAAAATGTAAAAATAATACAAAATAATTTGTAACAATAAACAAATTATATAATAATAATAACTAATAAAATATTTAAATTATTAAATTAATTATTTGTACAATTATATCTAGTAAAAAAATAATTTTGGAAAAACATAATTTATATGTCTTATAAATTATTTCACTTTATAGAAAATCACGGTTGCAATTTATAAAGCAAAATGTTGCACTTTATAAAAAATCACGTTGCACTCTAGACAACGACAAGCTACAATTTATCAATTGTTGTACTTTATAAAACAATACGTTGCACTTTATAAAATATCACGTTGTACTTTATAAAACGACAAGATACACTTTATCAACACGCTTCACGATTAACGTCAATAATTCCCACCAAAATGCAACACAACATAAATATAAAAAACAGATCAACATAACATATATCATACATCACATCTTTTGTTCCAAAACACACACACACACACACACACACTCGCAAGCATGCTAAGTTGCTAACATACCAAATTTACAATAGTTTTACTTTAAACTTCGTCATGTTGCACTTTATGAAACAATGCGTTGCACTTTAAAACACATCACATTGCACTTTATCATGACAATTCATAATTAAACGTTGTTAATTGTGTTAATTAAATGTTCACTCTATTGTACATTAATGTTATACTAATTGCGCATTAGTAATTTCAAAATCCCACTATATCGATTGACCCCGACCGAATTAAACTTTTTGTTTCGAGTTTTACATGTCAATTCAATTATCTGTTTTATTTAATTTATTTCGGTTCAATGTCAACATTATTTTAAAATAACATAAATAATCGGGCCGACTAAATTATATAAAAAAAATATTATTATGTTTTGTATAAAAAATATTATTTGTTCAACAAAAACATATTAAAAAAAAACAATGTTAGATACTAAATATTAGACTACCAAATAAAATTTCATGACATATATAATCTTTAAACTCAATTATTTTGGCTACTTCGGTCAACCTATCAAATTAACTAATTAATTCGGTGCGATTTCAAATTATTTTGGGACACAAGTTCGTTCGGTTCAGACTGCACTATAGTGACTGAAACGGTGCACAATTGTGTTAGACACGTTGCACGTTAATGTATGCCAAGTTGCACATTATTTTTGCATTTTATTTCTTATTGTGTGCATATAATAAACTTTTAATAAATTACGAAATTGCCACAAGTACTAAATCATAATATATTAAAAGTTACAAATTGCCTATAGGTCCCCAAAACTTGTCAAATTTTCAAATGAAAGTCATCAAACAACAACAAATAAAAAAATAGAAATCTCCAGCATCAGCCCTAGCTCGTCGCCGATTCCATCTATCGTAGTCTCGCCGGTCCTCCGTCGTCGCCACATCCAAGACCGTGCCATCACTTCACCCCTGAGCCTTCTTCTGCCACAGAGTTTCAGCGATTTCATGGAAGATTAAAATTTCGGTGACGAGCTCAAACAGTGGTGGTCCGGCTGCCACAGCGGATGACGGTGAACGGGGCGGCGACGGAGATGGTCTTGTTGGACATCTTGACACGGTGGTCGACTGCGTTTGAGATGGTTGGAGCTAAGGTGGTGCTCTGCTGTGGAACGCGGGCCTCTAAAGAGAAGGGAAGGCTACGACGGCTGACTGACGAAGGGCGAGGGGAAGGCAAGGCCGACGCCGGAGAGAAATTAGATAGGACGCCGGAATTTGTGGTGGACGTGGGTCGTCTGTGCAAGGAAAAATGGAGAGTTGGCGCGAGAGAGATACGGCGGGGGTAGAAGGCGGAGTCAGGCGGCTGTGGACGGCGGTTGTTTGTGGCATAACGTATCTCCGGCGGGCAGGCGTAAGGTGGGTGAAATTTTTTCAGATACCTTTTAGTGTGTGTATCTGCGTGAGAGAGAAAAAACAATGGAGAGAGTTATGAGAGAGGAGAACGTTACGTGAATTAATTTGGGTGGGGCCCATTGGTTTTTTATTTGGTGAATTTATATTACTGCCCCTCAATGTGTTTATTTACCATGAGATATTAATATAATTACAATCATGCCATTCAGGTTTGACCATTATAATTTATTTTTGACTTCATCATGTGCATTCATATACTTGATCCAATGGTATATGATCATTCTTATTTCTTTCACTATCCACCATTCTCACATGATCCCTTCTATATATATATATATATATATCAACACTAGCTTGAGCATATATATCAATAATGTACCCCGTGAATACTTGTTCAAATTGGTCTTTTGATTTAATTTATATAAATGACCCCTTATACTTTGTCAAGAACAAAATGACAATCATTCAATACAACAAGCATCCGACCCCTCCGAATGACACATAGTTGTTGCCCCAAGGTAAAGAACTTCGGCCTGCCCCAAGTCTTACTCGACTCGCATGGCGGCGACCTACATGGTCTTTTTCTTCTTCGGCACCGCACGCTTAAGTGTCCAAGGAGAACTAGCATGCTCGAAATTGATGTTTGTGAAGGTGGCCGTGAAGGATAAACAAGTAATGGCCATGGTGGAAGTCACGCATTCCTTCCTGAACGAAGCGCTGGCGTCGCGGCTAGGTCTTAAAGTTGAGCCAAGTGACGGGATGAAAATGATGACCGTCAAGCAAACAAATCAACGGGGTGACCCAATTAGACATTGTCATAGGGTCGTGGAAAGGTTCGTGCACGGTGCATGTGTTACCTCTTGGTTGTCACCAATGACCAAAGTTTTGCTCGAGGATTGGGCTATGACCGGTTTACTTAGACGACTGCCAGACATGTATCTACTTCAACAACCAGATGAGAAACAACTATTTGTTTTTTTTCTTTTCCATAGGACTTTTATCTTCCACAAAGATCTTGTACCATGAAGTCGACCTTCTATCATGTCATCATGACCTCCTATCATCTTTGCAATTGGCATAGTCAAACATCACAATATGCTTCAATTAACCTAGTGGAACAATGCTCGTAAATTTTGATCAAGAAGAGCCCAATAACTGTCAGTCTGAAAAGATTCCCACAACTCCCACAACTAATTGCAAAAGTTGGACGTGTGATCGTGAGATAATTTAACTTCTCCACAAGTTTTGGATACTACTCAGAATCATGGGTAAATTAAAATTTGCAACATGTACTATAAACGAATTTGGGATTTGCAACCTAAAGAATTTTTTGTACTAAATTGCAACATTTAATACACGATTTGTCTATATTGCAACCTCTGACCATCGACGTCCCATTTTTCACCGAAAAGCGAGCGTGCCAGTCGCACGCTCGAAATTTGAGGGTAAAATTGTCGCACGCTCAAAACTTTGAGGGTAAAATTGTATTTCATCTTATGTTTGAGGGCAACGGTCATTTCATCGTCCGAGTAGATTATTAAATAAAAAACGCATCCTGTTTTATCATTTCTTCTCTCGCGGCAATGACTTGGAGACAAATGCCGAGACGATGGGTCAACTATGCAATTGTGGGATCAATATTGTTATGAAAACATCGTAGTGTCCTAAATTTAGGAAGGAGATACGTTTCTTGCACAAAAAATTGGAGTGATTAATTAGGTTAACCCTAATGTCTAAATTTGGGCAAATTCAGTAAACCTTAGAGCTCTTGAAATTAATTTGATTTTTTCACTTAATTTTGTAGGATGATGGTGGTTGTTTATATTTTTCCTGGATTTAACCACCATTGTACCCTAGGCCCTAGAGCTCGTGAGATCATTCTAGGTCATTTGAAATGTGCCAACAAATTTGAAAGTAAAGCTCAAATTCTTGGACTAAACATGATGAGGTTAGAAGTTGATGTGAACAGGGAGGTTGGAGCATGTATTGAAACTATTATGGAAGAAAGGGCTACAATTGAATTGCGCTTGAAGAGGAAGAGTGCTTGGGAGAGTTGGATGTATATTGTAATTATGATCACTTGGTTGATCATATATTGCATGTTGAGGTTGGAGCATGTATTGAAACTATTATGGAAGAAAGGGCTACAATTGGATTGCGCTTGAAGTGGAGGAGTGCTCAGGGGGATGTAGATTGTAATTATGATCATATATTGCATGTTGTAGTGTTTTTAGTCTTTCAGATTGGTTGATCTCTTTTGGCATTAGGGTTTTGGTTCAAACTCTAATGTGGTGTAAGAATTTGATGTTCAATGTGTAACTCTTTTGGTTGATCAAACTCTTTTGGTTGCTCAAACTCTTTTGGTTGAGAATAGGTGTGTGCTCATGTCTTTGTTTTGAATGTACGACGTTGAGTTGGTTTAGGCTTCCAACAAAACTGGTTAGAGAAGATAAACCTATGTGGCTTAGGTTTTGACAGTTTGACATGTCCACCGAAAATGACATAATCACAAGCATAAAAACATAAAATGCAGTCTAGTATACTTACACAATCAAATCTTCAGTTGTTCTTAACTTGTATACACAACTCTGGAAAAATGTTAGTTGTGATTAGCTGTGAATAGTTGTGTATATTTACTCATGAACAATACTCCCATTCCAACACGTGCACAAATAATAATACCTCCATGACAATATCGCAACTAAATACTTCCAACTAGTTTTTACAAGGCGAACAAAATAAAAACACCCAGTGAACAACTGAAGTAGATTATTAATTCAAAAATCAGCCATGAAGAGTTGCCCATGTGAACAA